CCCCCCGTGTAATAACTTGCTAAACGTAACCCCCCCCCCTATATTCAAGGATGTCCCTACTGACCAGGGTTCAAGTAACTGCAGCGACAAAGAACAGGAACTAAACTGCAATTTCTACCCATGTGAGGGTGCTACTAGTCTGGTTCGAGATGCACTCTAAGCATGGGCTGTTGTGAACAAGGTACTGAACCTTCTGCTTACATGAAAGGTTGAGGTTTTCTTGACCAACTGAGAAATTCAGTTCTGAAGAAGACGCCTTTTTCTTGAATCACGTATATTATAACACTTATGATGATGATGATGATGATGATGATGATGATGAGAATATTTAGAATGAAATGTACACATGAATTAATTGCACGAATGAACTTAAAAATATTCCGTTCTCTCTCTTTCACTCCGAGCAACAAGACATCTCCGAGTGGATTGTACAAGTATACCCAATCTCTCCCGGTGGGTCTGTATGGGTGTGAAACTTGGTCTCTGATATTATGGGAGGAACAGAGACTGAGGGTGTTTGAGAACAGGGTGCTGAGGAGAATATTTGGACCGAAGAGAGATGGAGTGACAGGAGGTTGAAGAAAACTGCATAATGAGGAGCTTCGTAACTTGTACTCTTCTCCAAGCATAATTAGAATGATCAAGCCAAGGAGGATAAGACGGACAGGGCATGTAGCACGAATATAGGAGATGAGGAATGCGTATAGGATATTGATGGGAAAGCCAGAAGGAACGAGACCACTGGGAAGACCAAGAAATAAGTGGGTGGGCAATATTAAAATGGATCTCGTGCTCGTGCTCGTCGGGAGACCCGTCTGGCTTTTTCTTGTGCTCGTAAATCTGCGTCCACACTACTTCAGCTGCTCGCCAGGCTTCGGCGCGTGAGGATCCGTATATTTACTCGTAGTGTGTATAGGCTGTAGTCGTATTTTAATTTATTGGCCATAGTTTTTAAATTACAAATTTAAAATTTGCTTGTCTCGTGACTTGTCATATCGTCCACATTACTCGCGAGCATAGCAAGTCACACGAGCACGAGTAATGTGGACGCGCCTTTAGAGAGGTAAGATGGGATGGTATGGATTCGATTGCTCTGCCTCAGGATAGGGACCAGTGGAAGACTCTTGTGAGCACGTTAATGAACTTTGGGGTCCCGTAAAATACTGGGAAGTTCTTGTGTAGGTGCACAACTGGCGGCTTCTCAAGAAGGGCTCACCTGCATGAGTGAGTGTGTGAGTGACGCTCATTCTCTCATGGAATTGTAGCGGACCTGAGGAGACGGTGAGGTGAGAGTGAAACAGAAATATGTTCTTGTAGTGTAGGAGAGAGACAGAGGGTGATGAGCCGTAAAGTTAATAAGGGAACAATAACACGTATATCGATAAAATGGATATGAACTGTGAGAAAGAGCCACATCGAGGAGGCAAAGGAGCAAGAAGATTTGCCTTCAGCCTTGGACCTACCACGCCCTTTATTATTACCGCGGATATTTCATCCATCCTAGTGTAATCACTGCCCTTATTAATCCCCATCCTTGTGACAGATACATGGGGTTAATCACCCAAATGGCAGGCATTATACCAACCCCTAACCTGCGCTCTGTAGAGGCCACGTTGCCTTGCTGATTGTCTTCTAAACTCTGCTAGCATAGGGCGAATTCCCTTGTTGCATTTTTCAACGAAAGAGATTTCAATAGAAGAATGAAACCCCACTCTTCATATGTTTGTGTCCATAATGAGGGGAGAACTATTTGGTGCACCAAAACATGCAAGCATGTAAAACCCTGATTAAAATAACCCCCACTGCCACCCCACATCAGTTACAGCGACGAGAAAGGCTGCATTTTACACTGTCCTTGTGGAAATACTCATCAGACAGTTTAGGGCCTGCACACTCAGCATGCGTTAACTTCTCCTTACCTTAGCGCTTTGCCTTCCCTTGAGGAAGAATTCTGTCAGAATTGAGAGAGTATGCATTTTGATGAAAAAAGCGTGAAGCTATCCTTGTAAGAGGCCGTGGAGGCCCATATGGCTGTGAGACACTGAGGCTCCCACATTTTCTAGGCAATCGGCTCATAGATGGCGGTGAGGTTGTCAGCCTTACGCGCGGCCTCTCTTTGCCCCCAGGAAGAGTCCTGGTACTCATTTCTGTTAGATGCTGAGTCGATCCCAGGGCCATATTTGGGCTGAAAGGCAATGACCTCATCGGAAATCACACCCGCGAACTTCGGGCTTGTAACATAGCGCCTCAACCAACCACGCTACCGCGTACCCCGAGTATGAATTTAAAGATTAAGGAAACAAATGAAATCTGAATTTTCTTTACTATGGCGTATAATCCTATTTAACTAACCATTTCAGCATTGCCCATTTTCAGAATTTTTAATCGCAACCCTTCCGAAATTCTGTTTATTATGTTGGAACTGTGGTTCTCACGGAGGTCGTTATGAGGAATTCTGTCTTCTGGGACGTAACCCCATGTAGCCTGGTGAAAATCAACGGATGTTACAGAAGAATATATTACCTGCATCTTCAGGGTCGAAGTCTCGACTCCATTCAGTTCCTAGCTCATATCCTGGCAGGCTGGCTTCTTGAAGCTCGAACTTTCACTTCCGTCTCGAAACTCTGCTCCTACTGCTTCGTTACAAGTCAAAGTCACATTGCGAGTGTCGGTTCAGTCAGTCAGTAAGTCCTGGTGTCGAGCCCCATCTGGGGATCATGACCAGATATTTATTACTGTTTGACAGTTACGATGTTTCCTTTTCTGGGGCGCCCTCTCTGACGAGAGGAAGGGCTGTCTTTTGTATATGCTGCTGGCCCTTGCCAACGCAGTTTTTCTAGGGTCCGAGTCCCTTGGGACTCGCGACAATATTTTACTGCCTCGGATTTGAGACTTCCCTTTTCATCGCCTGCTACGACACGCAGGGTCACGGTGGATGTGTTCGACCCCGCCTCCACACGGGTTCCATATGCTACTGTACAAGTCAAAGTCAAAGTTATATTTCAACTGACGGTCAGTCAGTAAGTCTGTCTTGGTGTCGAGCCCCGGCTGGGGCTCATGACCAGATGTTTCTTTTTATATGAAAGTTACTGTCCTGTCCATGTGGGGCGCCCTCTATGACGAGAGGTCGGATCTGTCATTTAGAAAGTCGTAGTCGGTAATATTAAGTCCTTTGTCGCTATGTACACTTATTTACAAGGTTATACATAATATGTACTCCTATGTACAATATATATAATGCCTCTGTCAGTCCAGGCTCAGTAAAGCAGATTACGCCCTATTTCCAGTAGTATTCGCTACCACGGCAGTCTAGTCACTTGAACGGTCGTATACCTAACCGCCGCCAAGTTTAAGCCACTTCTACTTTCTGTGGCGGGCTTCGCCTTGTCCGATATTGCGAACATTCTCATTCTCATGATTTTGCATGACTTCTGCTTGTTGCCTGCATAATTTTGTTATATAGTCATATACGTACGGGATTTGAACCCTACGTGCAAATCGCGGAAGGCGTGCGCCTGGGAAAATTGCCAGTGGTGCGGAGAACTTTGTTTTGCAGGCGCTGCAATTTCACTAGATGGGTGTCTGCCGCAAACTCCCAGGCGGGACTAGCATGCTGCTGTACGCTTTCTGTGTCCTTTTATAACCACTCGGCACGAACCACACTGAAATCACAGTCTGTATTAATGACGAGGCTTGTTTACGGTGCCGGTGCCTAGCAATAGACGTCCTATTGTTCCGCGCGTTTTGTTCTGTGGGAGTCGTTGCCCATCTTACTGATTCCTTCATGGAGAACATTATGTCCACTTGGAAGTGAACGAATTGGCCGCGCCACAGCTCAAATGGT